TACTATATTCAGATCGCTGATTACGCCATGTATTACAATAGCTAATACATGCTTCTACTATATTCAGATCGCTGATTACGCCATGTATTACAATAGCTATTACATGCTTCTACTATATTCAGATCGCTGATAACGCCATGTATTACAATAGCTAATACATGCTTCTACTATATTCAGATCGCTGATAACGCCATGTATTACAATAGCTAATACATGCTTCTACTATATTCAGATCGCTGATAACGCCGGAGTGCACAGCAATGCCATGCACCTTGCCTGTCGTCTGTTCCTGGGTTGCCGCATCTTCCACGCAATCTTCTACGCCATTGGACTGGCTCCCATGCGCACTGTCGCGTTCCTGGGCAGCTACTTTGCGTTTGTCATCGTTATCACCCAGGTGTGTATGATTTTTTTCTAAGGAGAATCTGAATACACGGCATATATTAGTATGAACAAGAAGAGTACCTTATAAGCGCGGGCCTGTATGTAGGTCGGTGTCTTCGCAGCTGTAGGCTATCCGCTGTGTGTGTTGTGCACGTACGTGTTGTTTAGTCGAATGGATACACTGCACTCCCCCTTGCCTGGTTGTATCAATCTATTCGTCTCTTCCAATTTCCCCTTGCCTGGTTGTATCAATCTATTCGTCTCTTCCAATTGCCCCTTGCCTGGTTGTATCAATCTATTCGTCTCTTCCAATTGCCCCTTGTTAGGTGGTGATATGTTATTGGTACCTCGCGTGTTTCTAAGGTTTATCTTATGTGCAAGTAGTGGTCTGTGGACTTTTTATTTGTACCGATTGATGCCGGTGCAAACGGCGGCTCCTTGCAGAATTCGCTGTGTATGTCTACGCGGTTGCACCTACTTGTACGAATGCGTACGCCTTATCTATATGTTGTTAAATTGAGTGCGTCCATATATGTGCATACACGTTTGGTGCGTACTTTTTGAGTTAGTGTTTTTACTATTTGACGGGAGATTATGATGATTGCACTTGCGCCGTGCTCAATTTCGGTAGAGGGTGAACACTTCTAAGTCTCCTCTTCAGGTACTCTATGCTGCCATTGGTTTTCTCATATCACTTGATTCCTTCCTTCTATAACAGATCGTTGGTATGAAGAACGTCACCGTTGAACAATACATCGACCAATTGCAATCCGAGTTCAACAAGAACGTGTACCCACACATCGAGCAACACGTCAAACATCTTGATCTGTAAATACTATGCTTGGTGCCAAAGTGACTAGCATGAGTCGTGACATGGACCAAATAGGTCGAGAACAGTTGACCTCGAATAAATCCAATTTTTCAAAGTAAAATACAAACGACTAAATTTGTAATCAGTGTTCATAATTGTATACATATCCACACTGTACCTCTCTCATCTTGCCACAATGAAGATGTAATTATTGACATAAATCGCTGGCTAGATCTTTTATGTATGCTGCACATGCATATTTATCGAACGAAACTTAAAACTATGTGCTTGTTAGACGAATACAAAAGAAATGGGTTCTCCGGTCATACTGTAGGTCTTTTTATGTCAGCATAAAAACCTTTTGGAAGGCAGAGCCTTCCCTAGAAACCAGTTTCTGTATATAGTTTTATCAACAGAAAAATATGTATGTTCACAATATATTAGCTACTGTATTGTCGCTCGCTACCCTCATAAACTTGTAAACCAATTATTAGTTCACAAATAACTTCAGGAACACACGATACACTCAGACTTTCATATCTATATTTGCGCGTACACTTTAATATCCATGCCTCTCAAACGTAAAACAAGGTCGTCTAGATGACGCTACCAAGGCCCCTGGCGGTGTCCGTCCTGGCGCCGGTCGACAGAGTGTATCTGCACTTCTCGGCCGAAACCTACCGACCGATTAGGCAACTCTATTCGGGACAATAGTCATATCAACCATTAAAACTATTCCACTGTAGTGTCAAGAAGACATCGTTCGTGGTAATAAATGAAGACATGCCAATTGACACGGTAATGCATCCTTCACAAATCAATACCCGCGAAAATGGCGATGTACCTGAGCGTGATTATAATACGGTCAGGTATGGTGTTGAAGACTATATAGAAAAAGTGTACTCAAAAATGAGCCGATTTTGTGTAAACAAAATTCCTTTTTATGATATTGGAGCATCTGAATAGTTCAATTTGGGTGTGCGCCCCTGAGCCGATGAGAAGGGACAATAAATTAAATAAGTACCAAATGCCTATTACTATCCTGATATTCTTGTCTGGCTTCCGACCCTTTATTTCGGCATAGAACTGTAATTCCCTATCGTAGATCTATCAATACAACAACACGTGGCTGGTCAAACAATCCAAGGGTCGCATCGTGACACTGCTGCTATTAGCTTTCGTCTAGACGTGCAACGACTGTGAAGTACCAGGGTTCTAATTAGCTACCTGTCTCATCCTTGTGGCTAAGCGGGATCGCTGTCAAAGTACAGTTATCATTCAACCAGGCTACGGTAGAAAAGCAAAACTTTGATCTTCTTTCTATGATAGGAAGGGTATGAAGGCTTCTACTTTCCAATAAATAGCTAGGAGCAGTAATACATGCACTGAAAGAAAGTATCTGTCTGCATAATGACTTGCGAATGCAAGAGCTCGTGACAATAGTAAAATGGGATCATTCCTTTAAAATTACGAAATAAATACGTGACAAAATATGAGACGGTACTGCGGCGCAAAATAGACAGTAGTAAACGAATATGAGCGAATAGTTTTACGGTTTTTCTACACAACGAAGTCTATAATAGCGGTTCAAGAAGCTCTTAAACAATTTCATGAAAGATTTTTAAGACGAGGAGCTCCTTAATGGATTTTATACTCTGATACACCCCTAAATGAGGCGGTGGCCAAATGCAACGCACCAGTACTTTGCAGCAACGATCGACCGCCTCCAAGCCAGTCATCAGATACAGCCGGACTAGTAAAATTCATGATCCCTCCTATGTATGTTTATAAAGTGATTTCAACTATGGATGAACTAGCTGCCAGACTATTGTTACTTGTGAAATCACAGATAGCAAGTACCTATATGAAGAACGTCTACGCGCTATGTGAGTGGAAGCTTGATGAGACGAATAGGATGACAAGTGGTATCAATCTAGTAATGATATGTACTGATGCAGTGCCAATTCTTATTCGTCTACATTTGCTGTTTGATGAGAATAAGAAAGTAACATCTCAACTAGCAGTATTTCTATAGCAGCAGGGAGCCCACTGGATTGAATCTAGAATGACTTTTGTAGTTTGTATGACTTTATCAGCTGTACGACTCAAATACAATAGTGTGTGTAAATTTGATCACATTTCCTTTAAAGCGATTAAATGTAGAACCAATGCCATGATGACAACAGATGAGAGCTGAGGTGCTGTAGAAACTCTTTCACAGCCAGCCACGATACGCTGGGATAATTGCTCTACATCTAGGTTGCAAACCAGAAAACGACGGTGTATGTTGCGATAGACGTATGTGTGCCGTATGTACTGTATTGAAATGGAGCATCGCCTTCTATACGAGAACTCGGCAACTCTAATAAAATAGGTTATATGTACATTTGCAAACGCTTGAGTAAGGCAGCGTGTGCTGAATAGGTCTTACTCTTAAGTAGAACGTGAGCGACAATTTGATTGGGAATCTATGAAAGGCGTAGGCGAGTGCTCGGCTTGGGATTTAGGTGCAAGAGTGTGTAAAGAATATCGCCGTGATGTGTCACTACAATGAAATGTTCGATTAACTTAAGGAATTGTATGCTTATTCTAAACAATGAATGCTTTCATATACTTCTGCGAGCCTAATGAATGGCGCACTATCCTGAAAGATCACGAGTCTAATTGAAAGACTCTACTTTGAAATGTAACCAGTTACGTAAAAATATCGTGTACGTAAAAATATCGTGATTTGTTTTTTTGATGGTGAACTTCTCGAGTCTCGAGTCATTCGCTAACGAAACTACCATACGAAGTACACTTGCTCATATGACGCATATGAACCGTGCGATAGATGTCGTACTTCACTGGCGAATATTAGTTGATATGCCAGATGACGGCGACTATGGGGACTAACCTCTTTAAGAATGTGATCGATAACATCATTGCTTACGGTGACCTGCGATTTAGGCCATGGTCTGTGTTTGAAAAAACTAGTTCACAAACATGCCAACACTTCTACCAGAGTACATAAGTACTACGAGCATTACCTATTGTATCCGCTATGCGTATCGCGATTGCGGGTCCAAATTTTTGCGTATCACTAATAAGCCTCGCACTACCACTGCTGGGCGGGTAGTGCTCGTTCTTCTATTCGAAATTCTAATAGGGAGAAGAAGCTGCGGGTGCACCTTGCAAGTTGTCTGGTTCTAACTTCACTAGATGAAATGGCGAGTGAAATTGTAAGCACGACTCTAGGAAATGTGGTGTGCAAGTCAATCTTTGGGCGTTGTATGAAAGAGCGTTCTACTTGCAATAGCACCGATGGATGGCACTGACCGATAACTGCAATGGCATGCCAAAGGAAAGTACTGACGGTTCTACAAGTGTACATTAGAACAAGACCATGAAAAAATGGCGAAGTGGAATGGTAAACACGACTCTAGGAAATGTGGTGTGCAAGTCAATCTTTGGGCGTTGTATGAAAGAGTGTTCTACTTGCAATAACACCAATGGATGGCACTGACCGATAACTGCAAGAGCATGCCAAAGGAAAGTACTGACGATTCTACAAGTGTACATTAGAACAAGACTATGAAAAACATTTTATTTGTTGCAACCTCACTAGGTGAAATGATGGATGGCACGCCGATAACTGCAAGGACATGTCAAAAGTTCAAGTAAGGTACTGACAGTTTCACATGTGTGTATTAGAACAAGACTATGAAAAACCATTTAATTAAATATCTGTCAAAAGTGACGAACGAGCATTTGAATGCGTATGTGGTAATGGTGGGAAAGTTATAGCTCTGTTTGACCCGGGTGCTGAAGTTTGAAGCCATTGACCATGTACCCATCATGTTAACTGATAGAAGGTAGGCCAAATCCCATTTGTAACTGATATGTCAAAAAATATGATTCAATTATAGTTATTATGAATCTTCTTTGCTTCTAAAGTTCACAAGAAATATCCTGAGTTCTACTATAGGGAAATAATTCTCAGACAAATAAAGTTAGTTGGGATTTAGCAGTGATAGCTTGTGTAAGAATGATCGATGATGCATCTTAGGTACACGCATTCATTATTTGTTTTCACTAGAAAAGGTTGTAGATAGGTACAGATATGTGAACCTTGTCAATACATAGTAAAAATAATTGTACAAAGGTCCTTACTTGACCACACCATACCAAAACAGACTTGTTATCGGTCAAGAATCAAATTACTTAATCGTTGGCCGGTATCATGGCGGGGGGGCCGCCTTCTGGAGGAGTTCATCAACCCCTGGAGTTGGATCAAAAGCTGGAAATAGTACTGCCCCTGATGGGGTAGATGATCTACTTCGACTATATACCGTACTGCGCCACATTTGTCGATAGCTTATCCTTTGTGTATAAATTATATATAAGTATTTGATTAACCATATATATTTTCACTATGCATGACAATCAATGTAAGACACACGCACCAGTAGTTTATTCAAATTCGACCCAATCAATGTTCACAAAGTACTGTGTCATACACCCGTGCCAATTAAACCCTCTTTTGCCGAAATGTTCCTGTACCGTTTCTCGAGCCGATGTCGCTTCCCACTTTATCTTCCAGTCAATTGTAGTGAATGATTTGGAGCTACCCTTATTTGGGATACACCTTCCCTCCAGACACATGAGTATATCATTGATGGCATTCTGTTGGTTTTTCACATGTACCAGGTGCCCTCTGTAGATGCGCAATTTTTCAAAGCACACATCGATGACCATCTTCTCGCACTGACAGAGACTTCGTTCCAGAAAATTGAATCGCAATACTTAGTTGCGAATACATGTATTCTAAGAAGTCGCATCCATTATACTTCTGTATTGCAACATTTTCCTTCTCCTTATTGGGCTGGCCTAACGCGTGATGTGATGTATTCTATGGGTGCTGCAGTCATCCTCTTGTTCAACGTGTTTGTCGTATTACTGCTTCAGAAATGTCTTCATCAGCTCGTGTTTTTTCTTTGTGATTTCAGCACTGAAGTCGTTGATTTAATATTTGTAGTTGC